TCTACATTTCCAATGCTGCCAGAACTCGAGAAATTTTTTGATACACTGGGACCTCATCTCGAAACGTTATCGTGATTTCTCCTCAATTGGCCATTGGAACAAAAATTCGATTTTTTTTTCGAAAGTCTTGCATTTCTTGAATTTTTTCTCTAGAACTCCACTCGAGCTGACTATTGGAAAGAACTGTTCTTTTGTTTCGTGGAGGACAATGAATGACGAAAAAATCACTATTGTGGAATATACAGGATGATGAGAAAATAGGACAAAATCTCATTTCAGTAAATGAAATAAAAAATGGTGACTAAAACCATGGCCCATTCGATTCACTTCATTCAGAAACGGCCTTTTCGATATCCATTATTTATATTAGACTATCAACTCGAGACGTTTTCGAAAATTCGCCTCTAATTGAAATACAGGATGAAAATTTTCAATTCAAACTTGTTTTCTGATATCGATGATTCTTATCAACTGATTTCCAATATTTATTGCCCAAGTATGAGTACTGAGTGTTTCATCTGGGATATAGGAAGGTATGTGGATTCATTTGGTTTGATTCAAATACCTATTATTAGTAAGAAAACTTTGAGGCAAATACTAAACCATCAGTTCACAAGGTGCTTACTATGAATAACAAATAAGCATCTGAATAAATATAAGGTATGGGCAGGTATGGGTTATGGAATGATCACAAAAAATACAATTTCTTCATAAAATGATGATGTTCCAATAATATAGGTAAAGTAAAGTACCTACTTACCTGTTTCATACAGACATCGGGTGACCGTGTACAGCTTCCAGTCCATGGACGTATAAAAAAGAAGGACACAGCAACTCTATACTTTCAGCATATAATGTTTTGAAGTCTCAGAGATGTAGGCAAGCGGGTTGAGGGGAAGGAAAACGGTAACGATAGACTGTGCTATTTCCTCAAACGACAGCGGCGTGCGAAAATGAATTATAGTGATAGTAAATTTCGGAATCCAAAATGCAAAGAGCGACTAAAAACTGAATACTAATCACGATAAGACCGTTTATCAGTCCGGGTCGATATGGGTTATACCTCGGGTTATACCAAGTGAACATAACAAATACAGTTTTGTGTTTTCACATATTGAATAATGGATTTTATATAACTGTGGTGTGATTATGGTAATAGATTATTCAAATAATGAAATTTCGGTACTATTTAAGGAATCATTGAGAGTTCTGTATCTTTTTCCATATGGTACACCAACAAAACTACTATAAAAAGTGTCCCAAAATTGCTGGGACACAGAACTACCACGTGTAATGAGGTCAAAATAAATTTATATACACTATGTTATCTATTATTTTCACTTCTTCATTAACCACTTTTTTGACCCCCTGAAGAACGACTTTTTCTCTGATTAATTGATGATCACTCAATCCGATCAGTTTGGGAATCTATTTGATAACGATGCAGATGCAAAATACAGTCAACTATATCCTCATTCATAGCTAACAGTTTATGAAAAGGATAAGGATTATTACTAGACAATATGACTGATTATCATTTCATGTTTATTTTTGAAACTATAATATATACAGTATATACTTGCTTCTATATGACATGTAATGCAAATAACACAGAAATAAAAAAATAAGTAATAAAAAATATAGAATTATAGGAACTAGATAACTACAACTAACTTCTATCACATCACAAATGTATAATAATAATGACAGACGCCTGTCAAACCGTAGCGCTAATGAGTCGTCGTCGAAAAAACTTTGATATCCACAAAAAAGTGCATCCTTTTTTATTGATTCGACCGTCCTTATTATACCCGAGGTTATCCTAATTCAAATTATACGCGTTAATAAACGTTTAAAACGTTTTATTTCCCAAAATATTCCATGATTCTGGAACTCAAGAAATATTGATAATAATATAGGTTTATTCAAAAACGTTTACAAAATATACATTGGAACATACAGATAGATATCTTGAATAAACTGGAAAAAACCTTACGAAGTTGACCTTGTAGTAAGGATAAGAAACAAATGTACATAGGTCAATGAATATTTAACAATATCAAATTATCACAAGGGAAAAAATTGTTTCATTAGGAAATGAGACATCATGTATATTATTCATATATAGTGTACTGAGCATTTAATTCAATTCGCATAATTATTTATATTTATATATACTTATTCACAATTATTATTTTTATGTTTCTAATTTTATTATTGAATGTTAATTTTGAGAACCTCACCGTGACATTGCCGTGTATTCTTGAATTTCTACGTATATTGGAGCAGCCTGAAATGATATGAAATAATGATGATATGATATCCCACTGAAATTATGAAATTTCAATTTTTTACACATGCCAGACCCTCGTAAACATTGCAAATAAGACATGTATCTTTCATCTCCTTTCATAAATGGTAATTCCTATAAATTCTGAAAGCGGCGCCACTCTCTGGATATAAATTGTTGCCATGCAAGGGTTTCGTAATCCCTAACTTTTTATGTTCATTTTCCATTTTGAGTGAATGAAAAAATTAGTACATATTTGTGAAGTTCTAATCTATGTTCCTATTGTCTCACTTTTTCGAAAATTGATTCAGTTTTTCCTTAAAAAAATCGCATAATAACGTGTTTTTTGATGATTTTCAAATTTTTTTTTCAAGAACCGAATCAAATTTCGAAAAAGTAAGACGACAGAAACATTTATGATATCTTCATGAATATGTACAATTGTTTTCATCCACTCAAAATGGAAAATGACCGTGAAAAGTTAGGGACTACGAAACCCTTGCATTATTGCTTTATATCATAGTACAACTTCCTCTTAACAGAAAAGCATTGAAAAGAAATGTTTTCAGATAAATTATGTACGTAAAAAAATGATATAAAATATATGAAGGAATACATCGAGACTTCGCATTCTCTATTTGATGAAAATATCAATTGTTACGCCTATGAAACTCTAATTCGAACATGTAAACTAATGGTACTTACGAATGGAAGGTGAAATTTGGGTATTAAAACTTTGTTTTTTCGCAAATCCAGCAGTGTAACACTATTATTCGTCTCTGTCTATCAATTTTTCAACAAAAAAATGAGAAAATTCACTCAAAAACAACGAAAACAATAAACTTCCCCAAACACATAAACATAAACGAACAACGACGAACTCGCCGAAAGCACGAAACATCACGAAACGAGCCTGTTTCGCAGCGGCGTTGTCGGTTGTGTATAATCTCGGTAACCTTTACAGAATAACTTTGAAATAATGTATGTCGACAGTTTTATAATATTTGATTGTGACTATCCATGGACATATGATTTATTCCTCGAGTTCTATGAATTGAATCATAATGAACATCTAATTGAATAGATGATTACAAAAGAGATAAGTGCAAAATAAATACTTGAGAGGATTAGACTGAAGTTAGGAATTATTAGTGACAGGACGTGACAACCTCCAATTCAACCTCAGGCTAGACAGATGCGAAAGCTTTGATGCCGCCTTTGATGTTTAATGGGTCGAATTCCGTGACCTTGTGTACCAGTTACATCCACACCGAGAAAAATATATTGTTGTTTTCGCCTGATTCGAGTTGAAATCTACACTGAGAAAACATGCTTGCACTCATAATTTACCTTCAATGAGAAGCTATTCAATCAATGACATTGTATTACTAATAGCATTAAAAAAGGATGAGTATTATTAACTGTTACTCATTTGCAGCATCATAGAACTCCAGACATAACAAACAAACCAACTTTTCCATTAATATTTATTTGATAATCACTATTCATTTGAGTTAACAATGAGTAACTACATACCATTGAAAATAATGAAACGATATTCATGAGATGAAAAAAAATATAAACTGAATTCATATAGATATTCGAATATTAGAATAATAAATAATAGAAAATGATAAATAATATGTAACAATAATTCTAAATATGAGATAAAATCGTCAGTTTCCTGTTTTTCTTCAGTTTTCCTTTGTCATTTTTGATTTCCTTGTTTGAAAATTTCAAGGTATAAAACATCTTCAATCTGATAAATAATTTGATAACATATAATGATGGAAACTGTGGACATGGATGACGATAGGAAACTTTTTGCATTTCTTCCAGATATAAATGAGATATTCTATTTCCTTTTGATAATTCATCAAACTTTGAAACAAATATCTTTTCCAGCTTATAAATATAATTTATGAAATCCTCACCCGGAGACCTAAGACCGCCATATACACTCTTTTCATTATCGAAGGCTTTGAAATGAGTCAACAATTTATTGTTATCTAAATTACTAGTCTCTACAGAATATTTTCTACAAAGTTCACAGCTATGAACATTCAATGATTTCTTGATCAAGTAACCACACACATAATTGAACGCATTCTGCATGGGCATAGTTTCATGTCTATAATCATAATCATTGAGTGAAATTGCTTTGCTTTCCTGTGTTATTTCATGTTCTTCATTTGTGATAATATTATTTGTATTAATTTTCATCAACAATTCACCAAAATCATCATTACAATTCATATTGGTTGTATGAAGGAAGTTCTGACAAAACAGCTTCCTGAAAGCCCTCTCAAATTGAATGGGTGTGGGATTTATACAATTTCCTCCCTGCTGTCGAATTGTGCCAAAAAAGTTTTCAATTGCATCTTGATTCACTCTTCTAGTTTTAAGATATTTGAAATCCGATCCTTTCAATTTTTCCCATAGTTTTAGAATACCATTAATGGTAACTATCCAAGAACTCTTAAATCTCGACCTGGAGGTAACATCATCTCCATCCTTGTTCAGGATTCGCAATTCACTGATGAACTCTCTCATTTCTATTAAGTATTCAACTTGGTAGTCAGACCCCTCGAAAACATTCTTGAATTTATTTGGGTGATTTTTTTCAGAAGAATTGAAGAAATCAAACAATTTGTCAAATTTTTCAATTACTGTTATCGTTGCCATGGCTTCAGTAGGAAGGGCACCTAAACTCACATAAGTATTCATTCCACTGGCTACTGTGTTACTCAGAACTTGAGTAGCGAATTTAACCCTCATTTTTTCAAAATTTGTGGGACAAATATGTGAGGAAGTAAGCTTAGGTGCACATCTATATGTCTGTTTTCTGTCTTGTTGATAAAACATATTTATGAAGGACCATGACGTTTTCTTCTCATCAAAATAAAAAACATTTTGCAACAAATTATTCCTTGTGGCCTTTATCAAATGGCACGTATCGAATAAATATATAACATTTTTATCACCCACTTTGAATTCAGGGTTACTAGGTGTGACTCCAAGAATATTAGATAATTGAACAAAATTGGAACCCATATCACTGATAAGCGCATCCACATATAAACCAGCTCCGAATAATCTCAATATACACTCTTCAATCACAGAAAGTAATTCTCTTGCACAGAATTGTGTGTTGACAAAAAAGTATGCTATCTGTTGTTTCCAGTTGTTATAAAGACCTCTAACCATAATGACACAGGCATTTTGAGCAATTGATGATTGTTTATTGCCATTTCCTACATCATGAAGTCCAACAATTTCATCTCGTCCTGTATGGTAGTACAGGTTACCTTTGAGAGAAATCTCATCAATGCATATAATACAATGCCTGTCCTGATCTAACATGGTCTGTGTTTTTATCTCCAAGGATTTAAATATTGCTTCATTTTGGAAGCCTGGTTTGAAAGTCAGTTTTTGGGTCATATTTTCCAAACATCTTTTTGATGGAAGACATAATAACTAAAAAAAAAAAAAAATATGCTCGTGGTCCCAAGAAATAGAGAGTCAAGGCAAATTGTTTGTACTCGGATGAATATCTTCTTGCTAGAGGTTTAACGTTTTTCAATTTAGCTTGTGCTTTCACAATTCCTGACAAAGGACCATCCAGAAATCTGTCGCACATCACATTGAAGTCCTCTATGGCAAGATTTCTCTATAAACTTTCTCTTTCTGATAGCTTTAAGCTTTTCACGAAGTTTCAACTTTCTTGGAGTCCCAGAACTCAAAATGGCTGATGTTTGAGTTGACCTAGATGGAGTGTATGCTTCATAGCTGCAAGACGGAGTTGATGTTTCAGTTGACCTCGATGGAGTGGATACTTCACAACTACCAGAAGGTGTCACAGAAACTGGAATGACATCCAAGACTTGCTCTGTGCCTGGAAGAAATACATTTTTAACATGCTACCTGATTGAATTATGAAAAAATAATATCAATTATGTTGTATTTATTAATGAATACACAATATAACTACCTGAAATATTTTGAGCTGCTTCGGAGGGAACTGATGAGGAAGTTGTAGCTGGTGATGGCATTCCAACATGAAGAATTGTAAAATCAGAAGTATTAATTCTGATATCTGGAAATAATAGATCATTATCAGAACATGCAACAGTAATCTTTTTTTTAAGTTTGTCTTCCTCTTTTGTTCCTTTTTCACTCGAAAAAATACAAAAAAAAAACTCCTGTGATGAAATTGGTGTAATAAAATTAATTGAATCAAAATGGGACACTAAACACAAAACTTTAGCTCTCTACTGTGACAAAACTCTCATGATTATCAACATATGCTTTATAATTATCACTATAATGAATTGATTATATATGAAGATTACTCACCAGATATGAGGGTAACTTTTTTGGGACGTTCCTCAGAGTTATCAACTTCAAGTTCCAAGGAATGCTTGGAACCATGAGGGAATATGGTAGGAACTGCTTGTTGAAATAGGTGTTTACGAGTTCCACCAGCTTGAGTTATATATTTATTCTCAAAATGTTTTTCACACACTTTAAAGTTTCTGTGCAGAGCATCTACACTTTTATCTAGTAAATCTTCTCTATTGCATTTCCTCAGCCAACATTCAGCCCTTAAGATAACAAAACATTCATCAACAATACTTTCACCTATTGTAGGAACCTACTAAAGATTTCTATGAATTTAGGTCATTTCAACGTACCTTACAGGATCCTTTGGAAATGAAAAGAGACTTGTATCTCCGCCAGTTCTTGAGGAACACCCCCTAACGACACAAACCGTTCCTCCTTTACGAGACATTCTTTAGGTGTAAGTGTGCATAAAAAAGTCTTTAATAAATCAATGTCCTGTCTCTAATGAATCAAGATTTATCAATTGGCACTCAAAGTCAGAAACACAATTCAAAAATCTCGTTCAAATACTAAAATCGCATTGAAATGGAAACAACAACAACATAAACACATCACACACAGAAAGTGAATCTGTGGTTGAATGATATACCAGTTATATCATGGCGTCCCCGCACATGCGCATGAAAATTTAGTTCTGGCGGGAGAGCAAGGCTTCGTATCTGTCTAGTTGGGTTAATCTGTGACTTCACATTACGATGTAAATAAATGGGTCCTTCTTTGTTTATACGTCCATGTTCCAGTCACTTTCAGCTTCGACATCTTTCACAATGTATTTATCAAACGTTCTCTGATCTTTTAATGGGGTCACAACACTTTCCGCTTCCTAGGTGTCAGCCAATTTCTATTAACAATGGCGACCCCCCCGCCCTCACTTTCAGAAAACTCTACGAGCACATATGACATTATCTGATTTATTATTTGAACGCAATCATATGAATTACGTTAAAAACCACCAAAAACAAAGCTGCTTCCTGCTTCCCAGTACCGGCAAACTGGCATAAAACTAATTTTAGAATTATCCAATTATCTATAAATTGAAATACACGTTGGTCTTCTGCCAGTATTGCCAGTAGTCAAATACTCCAGATTTCAATCAACGTGCAAAATATCGAAACAAGGTTTATTTTATCATCGATTCGAATACGGAATTCGAAAGTAGGTAGGTATTTCTGATTACCTCTCGATCTATTCAAAGTAAACAGAAAAATTGAAAATAATTAACCACTCGATTAACCATGCACAATGAGAAAATTTCAATACTCATCATGAATGCTCATGTAGAGAAATTACAATAACAATAAAATTGGTCCATTTTTTATCCGTATCGTGGACTCTTCTTCAGAAAACATGTTACAGTTCTGCCATATTTTATTGAACGTTTTTTTTGCGACAAAGGTATTGATATATTAGTAAAATTCCGTATTTGATCCATCAGGTTACGCAGCGAGAAAGTAAACTACTCATCGATTTGTTTCAATGGTGACGAATATATCAAAAGTTCTGATTTTATGTTGATATCTCAGATTTCACTAGATCTGATGCTGAATCACTAACAGTGTCAACAGTAACATCATCTCCAACCACCGGCACGCTTAACTTCGGTTTTGCGTCGGGTCCAGTTCGGGACTTGTCGGGAGATCACTATTTGACACTCAAGAGTCAAGAACGCTAAAAATTTTATTAATTTCCAATTCCAACTTCAATCTGTGCCTCAACCTGAGCTGAGCAACGGCTAAACGAGATTACCTATCTAAATCTAATACAGAATACGAGCTACTGAAAATGCAGCGTTAGGACAGCTAATGAGATAGGTATCACGTGAGACGTCAGCTACGTACGTGAGACGAGACTATCAATGGCCAACCGCCCTACTGAGGGTGATGACAGAGACAGAATGAGTTGATTCTGTTGGTTCCCTATTTGATAGGTAGGTAGGGTAGGTATTTAGGAAGCCTTGGGCATGAAAGGTATGCCCCATGGTGCCCATACCTATATTTTAAACTTTTCCATATACCTACCTATCCAATGAAACATTTTATGTGTGAATGAAAAAATATGGGAGTGGGATTGAAATGTTCACCTTTGTACACTCGAAAGATGATCGAGATTATTTATAGGTAGGTGTACCCATATACCTTATACCTATTCCTTCGCAAACCGCTAATGAAGGGGATTCATATTTTGTTGTAAATTCTGGAGAAATTATCAGAAGAGCTCAATAAGTTCAGTTTACGAATGACAAAAAGTTGACTCTGTTGGGACGTCTTTATGACCTCCAGTTATATGACGTCATTTTTAGGTCTCTTTGCAGTCGAGGATGTCATGGACCAATAATGACTTAAAAAAGACGTCATTATGACGTCACTTTACTAACCTGTGCTACCTGGGAAGGAATGACGGGGGCCTTACCTTTTATCGTGTGATCCCAAACATTTCCTGTTCTGTTTCTGAGCAAGAGATAACTTTTCTGATTTCTTCCATATCATTCACTCCCAATATAATTCAATATTATAAGGTATCAGCCAAGAAAGTAGTTTTCTGTAGAATATTTAAACAATATTTCTTCTTATTTCACAATATAGGTACTATTGATGTTATTAAAATTTTCAGTAAGCTCCTCACCAAACACTCTTACAAAGTCGAGATGTGCATGATTCAAGAGACTGGCCAGTTGATGAATTGCGTCGTTTACGAGCCACAGATGAGCACAACGTCAGACACCTCGGAGATCTCTTGCTGCGAGAGCGACGACTTTTCTTCATGCCCCCCCACTAAAGATGCGCCCCTTTCCGACTGGGACGAGCATCTCTCCGACTGGGACTGAAACTGAAGGCCAGTATGGAATTATTTCGTTGGACTAGAACATTTGTTATGTCCAGGGTTAACGAGATTTTGCACGTAATAAATACTCTTAGAACTCTGATAACAATAAACATTTCTAGTACTTCAGGAAGTTTCATTGTTTTCCTACCAATAAAAATGTCTACTACTTCAGGGAGTGTCATTGTGTTAACCGATCCAACTTCCACATCAATCTGCAGATAGCCAAATCATTTGTCGGATGTGTAATATGTAATATCAGATTTCTTTGCTACCTCACTCCTTAGGTTCAGTACCTACTGAAACGGACGTTCAGCAACATTATAAATGATATAGCTATTATCGATTATTTTAGCAAGGTAACTGCAATATTGCATATTGTTATGAATTGGATACTTGCACCTACCTGGTATGTATTTAATCGTATATTGAGAAGTCAATAAATCACAATAATAATATTTATTCACTAGGTATATATATAAGTACATACAGGGTGGCCCATCGAAAACGTACCACAAGGCATTACAGGCTGGGAAACAACTTTTCGATAAAATCCAAAAACAGGTCAAGTTTGTTTGCGACGGGGACACAATTTGACGTAACAAGAATAGTAAAATCTTCAACCCCCTGAGTAGTGGGGTCACCCCAAAATTTTTTTCAAATGGGAAGGGTGGTCAAGCGATACCTCTTTAGAAGGGGCTTGTCATTTCCTATACAGTGCTGCTTAGATTTTTCAAATCGATCTACTCTTTCAGAAAATATGGAGCGTTGAAACTCCAACCATCATGTGGGACGAAAAATACAAAAATCGGTTCTGTACTTCACAACTCATTTTTTATTAGTCAAATAAATGTTCGAATTGCTGTCCGTCAACCTGCATACAGTGGTATAAGTTATTTTCAAACCGTTGTCGTACATTCTGGAGCATTTGGGGTGTCACTTCGCGACATACGTTAATGATTCTTTGTCGCAACTGTTCTAATGTGTCTGGTGGTGTTTTGTAAATAAGGCTTTTGATGTGTCCCCACAAAAAAAAATCTAAAGGACTTAAGTCGGGTGACCGAGGTGGCCATTCTATTGGGCCCCGTCGTCCTATCCATCGTCCTGGAAATGTGTCATGTAAATAATTGCGCACATTTTGGGAATAATGAGGAGGAGCTCCGTCTTGTTGAAAAATCAGTTCCTGTTCATTGTATGCGGGATCGTTCTCAATGATATTTGTTAGAGCTGGGTCGATGGCATTTTGTAGTAAATCCAAGTACATATCGCCCATTAAATTTCCAGGAAGGAAAAAAGGTCCTACAATGGAATTTCCGAAAATACCAGCCCACACATTTAACTTCTGGGGGTGTTGCGTGTGTGTCTCGTGGAAAATCCTTGGATTGGTGTCAGCCCAGTATCTGCAATTGTGGCGATTCACTAAACCATTGAGGAAGAAGGAACACTCGTCCGAAAAACACACATTGAATAGAAAATTACCATTGTGTAACGCTCGCTCACTCATAATTTCGCAAAATTGCAAGCGACGATCAAATTCATCTTCATTCAGTTCGTGCACTAAGCGAATTTTGTAAGGGAAGAATTTGTATTTTTTCAATACCCGTTGGACACTGGTACGAGACACCCCCGTGGCAATGGCCAATTGTCTTGTACTTATCGTACTATCAACTGCAACTTGCCCCAATACTGCTATCTCCGTAGGTTCATTTAGTACTGGATTTTCAAGCTCTCTCTTTTTGTTATGAACTGAACCTGTTTCGCGTTTTCCAGAGGCATGTTTGTCAGGATGCCGTTGGTTAAACAACTCCGCGACCCGATTTCCACATTCATCGTTTTTGAAAAAAAGCTCAATGATTTCCACTCTGTCTGCAATTGAATAGACCATAATAATAAATTTTAAAGTCAACAATTCGTGAACACTTCAACCACGACGGGTATCTAGCAACACCTTGACCTAAGTCAAACGTGAAGAAATGAATCCTATTCATTTTTTACTCTCTAAAATGAGCCTAAACAAATCTGTGCATCGGCAAAAACAGCGAATTCATTTGAAAGAACTTATTGCAATAAAGTACAATTGAACCGATTTTTGTATTTTTCGTCCCACATGATGGTTGGAGTTTCAACGCTCCATATTTTCTGAAAGAGTAGATCGATTTGAAAAATCTAAGCAGCACTGTATAGGGAATGACAAGCCCCTTCTAAAGAGGTATCGCTTGACCCCCCTTCCCATTTGAAAAAAATCTTGGGGTGACCACCCTACTTAGGGGGTTGAAGATTTTACTATGCTCATCACGTCAAAATGTGTCCCCCTGACAAACAAAAATGACCTGTTTTCGGAATTTATCGAAACGTCATTTCCCAGCCTGTAATGCCTTGCGGTACGTTTTCGATGGGCCACCCTGTATAGAAAGTGTAATGGTGAATAATTATGATATAAAAAGAACATAGATTAGACATAAGAAGAGTTTGTGAATAAATTAATGCTCCATAACTGTGTAACACTTGTTTCGATAGAAGTTGAAACATCAATGAAATTGTAAAGGGGTAACTGAATGTAGATGTTAC